GAAACAAAATTGATGTATTTACAATTGTTGAAGCTGGCTGATTTACAACGTGGGCCCATTCTACTAATGCTTCTACATTTATGCCTGCCTGAATATTTTCATAACGAAAAAAGTTTATTAGAATTTAATATTAAAACAAAATTGATAAAACAAAAGCCTTGGGCATGGTGGCTCACACCTGTAATCTCAGCACTTTGGTAAATTAAGGCAGAGGAATCACTTGAGCCCAGGAGTTTGAGACCAGCCTGGCAATATAGTGAAACCCCATCTCCATATTAAAAAATAAAAATTAGCCAGATATCATGGCACGCAGCTATGCTCCCAGCTACTCGGGAGGCTGAGGCGGAAGGATCAGCCTCAGGTGTTAGAGGCTGCAGTGTTAGAGGCTGCAGTGTTAGAGGCTGAGGCGGAAGGATCAGCTCAGATGTTAGAGGCTGCAGTGAGATGTGACTGCACCATTGCACTCCAGTCTAGGTGACAGAGAAAGACCCTGTCTCAAAACCAAACAACAACAACAACAACAAAACAACCACATCAGCCTGATTTTCCACACTTCTGCTGTCTAAAGTGTAACTACCTCTCTTTACAGAGACATAATAGCAGCCCTCCAGTGTCTCATTAGATAAATCAACCACGAATTAACAAAGCCAATTGAATTCCACAAATTTTAATTGAGCATCAACGATAGGCAGGGTTTTGTCTTGACGCTTAACATATTTTTGTTTCTTCGTTTCTTCATTGGTTGGAGCAGATATTCATGTTGTTGTTTTTAATTTGGTGATTTTTGCTCTTTTTCTCTGAAGTTTTATTATCGTCAATAGTATAAAATTAGAAACATTCTGTTCTCTCTTTCTAGATTGTCTACCCTTCCCATATTTTGCCTGTAAATAATAGAAAATTTTACCTCTGTAATTCAAAACATCTAATGACTAAGTAAAATACTTTGTGATGTGGTAAGATAATTGGGTTCTGGGAAAAGTAATGAGCCCCGCGAGGTGATGTCCAGTAGGGGCAGTAACTCAACGCTACCCTCTGAGTAACAACAAGGTCTCACTTTCTAAGGCCGATTTACTCTATCTTAAGATGACCTGGGTGAATCCTGCCCTTCAAAGGGTAATATACTCACTGAAGTAGCCAGTCCTAATTGTAGCTTCACCTATTTGAAAATCTTGAATGGAATAGAAAGAAAGAGAAACAGTGTTAAAATGGTTCTTTTTTTTTTTTTTTTTTTTTTTTTTTGAGACAGAGTCTCACTCTGTCACCCAGGCTGTAGTGCAGTGCCACAATCTTGGCTCACTGCAAGCTCCACCTCCTGGGTTCATGCCATTCTCCTGCCTCAGCCTCCCAAGTAGCTGGGACTACGGGCGCCCGCCACCACGTCCGGGTAATTTTTTTTTTTGTATTTTTAGTAGAGACGGGGTTTCATCGTGTTAGCCAGGATGGTCTTGATCTCCTAACCTCGTGATCCGCCCGCCTCGGCCTCCCAAAGTTAGAATGTTTTATATTACCTGCTTCCTATGAAAATAGAATCACCTACAATAAGGCATTTGGGATATTACATGCATAGACTTGATAGAGACAATGTATTTGGGGAAAGTGATTACAACCAAGGGAAGGGTAAATCATTTCTTTTGACAGTCCCTATTGATTACCCGGACCCAAACAGCAGTAACTTCTGGAATTTAGGTACAGTGTCAGAAAAATTAACATAAAGTAAACATACTAACTCTCTATAACCAAACATAAAAGACAAAATTGTAAAAGCTTCCAAAAGCTTATAAAAGGCATGGGAGAATCTCTGAAACATTTATCAAGAAGAGGGCAGGTGTTCCTGAAATTTCCACCCCTCTTACAGTACCTGTCAAAGAACAAGAGCTTAGAACTGAATGTTGAATTTATCAGCACAGCGATATACAAGTATTGTGGTATGTTTAATCAAGGACAAAGAAAATTAAACAGTGAATGTGTGTGCATGTGTGTCCATCTAGTGACTGAAAAAAAACACCATCCCTAAGAGATATGATCATTTATGTTATTAGAAAAGTGGAGTACATAGTAAAGTAGGAAAAATATTCAGGTTACCTCACAACCCACATGAAATATCTTCCAAGACTCTCTTAATCTCTTTGCTTTGTTTCACCAAATAACCCTCTGATTATTTAATCTGTATGGAAAAATCACCTTCTCACTTAGAAGGTACCAGGTAACACATACAAGTACGTTGCTCACTGAAAAGACAGCTTCCATTAAAAATTACAATTGAAATTCTGATTTGTAGATCAGTGTTTGCTCTCAATTTAGCTAGCATTAGTTGTGTGACCTTGAGAAAATCAATTCTCTGTGAAGAAAATCAATTTCTTCTCTTGTACAATTACAACATGAAATTCGGTCAGTATTCCCCCAACTGTCCCTCTCAGAATAAAAGTCTTAGCAAAGTGCCCAGTCTATTAGAATAACTGGACATCCACCTTCAGCAATGTGACTATTCTGTTTCTATGTGATATTGTAATGGTAAATACATGTTATTATGTAACTGACGGAACCCATAGAATGTATAACCCAAAGAGTGAACCCTAATGTAAACTATGAAATTTTAATTAATAATAATGCATCAATCTTGGCTCATTAATTGTAACAAATGTACCACATTAATGCAAAATGTTAGTAATAGTGGGAAGCTAGGGGTGGTGGCAGGTTAAGAAGATAGGCTTATCTTCTTAACTTAAGGCTGGGGGTGTGGTAGCTCACCCCTGTAATCCCAGTACTTTGGAAGGCTGAGGCGGGCGGATCATTTGAGGTCAGGAGTTTGAGACCAGCCTGGCCAACATACTGAAGCCCCACCTCTACTAAAAATACAAAAATTAGCCGGACAGTAGTGGCATGTACCTGTAATCCCAGTTACTCAGGAGGCTGAGGCAGGAGAATCATTTGAGCCTGGGAGGTGGAGGTCGCAGTGAGCGGAGATCGCACCACTACACTCCAGTTGGGGGTGACAGAGTGAGACCCTGTCTCAAAAAAAAAAAAAAAAAGATATATGAGAATTCTGTTCTTTTTGTCCAAACTTTCTGTAAATCTAAAACTGCACATACACACTATTAATTTTTTAAAAAGGTGTTCAATGTATAAACGATTTTATGGCCAAGTAATTTTTGGAGATACTTCCTATAGTTTGTGATTCTCTTTGTGATTCATATAGAATACTAGGTATGACTGGGAAATTCTGCAGTAAGAAAAGTATGCTTAATATTATTTATCCTAGCATTTCCTAAACTTATCTGATCATGGACATTTTCCCCCAAGGGAAAATGATTAACATCCTGGGGAACTCGTGTTTCAGAGCATTCTTAAGATTCTTTCCAAATCTGGAAGTCTGGTTTTGTCTGTATTATGAACTTGTTTAGTAGAAATCAGACGTCACCAAATGATCCTATGGAATCAAAATGAGAGCCAGGCTGTGGGCCCCAGTGGCTCCAGAAGAGCACGTTGGTGCCTTATGAACTGTATTAGTCTGTTTTCGTGCTGCTGATAAAGACATACCCGGGACTGGGCAATTTGAAAAAGAAAGAGGTTTAAGGGACTCACAGTTCCACGTGGCTGGGGAGGCCTCAGAATCATGGCAGAGGGCGAAAGACAGTCTCACATGGTGGCAACCAAGAGAAGAGAACTTGCTTGGGGAAACTCCCCTTTATAAAACCATCAGATCTCGTGAGACTTATTCACTAACAGGAGAACAACGCGGGAAAGCCCCACCCCAGGATTCAATTACCTTTCATCAGGTCCCTTCCACAACACATGGAAATTGTTGGAACTACAATTCATGATGAGATTTGGGTGGCGACACAGCCAAACCATATCATGAGCCCTACCTTTTCAGCATCTCAGTGCCCAGTTTTACCACCTGTGAGAGCAAATTTCGTAAATGCCTTTAAGAGAACTTAACAGGTCAGCTACTTATTAAAATATGAAAGAGGTTCTATTCATATCTAAGGTAAAGAAATCTAGTAGCAGTCCACGTATCCCACTGGTTTGTTAAAAATTTGAGAGAATTTCTCAATCAAAACCAGTCCTTATGGGGAAGTTGAGAGGTCAAAGCTGGTGCTGCTGTTTGCATGAAAGGTGGGCGGCATGGCTGCGCGTCTTGAGAACATTTGTAAACACTCATTTACTGACTTGCTGTTGATTGTTCACTGTGTTCATGTAAATAGTGAAGCACCGGCTTAAACTTACGCTAACACATTTTTTCACTTCAATTTTTATTCTGGCTTCAGAGTATGAAGTAATACTCCCTCTGATTCGAGGAAGAGGAGAAGTGATATTCCCCAGTCCTGCCTCTTCCCCCGCCCTCCACAATTTCCCCAAGCTGAAGCCTCCTTTAGAATTATCAGAAGAGTGTAAGTCAAGGCAAAAGTCCCCAGGCGTCCAGAGAAGGCCCTGGCATGACAACAGTGGCTTCTGTTCATTCTGCGCAGGACTTTTTTTTTTTTTTTTTTTGAGATGGAGTCTCACTCTGTCTCCCAGGCTGGAATGCAGTGGTGCAATCTCAGCTCATTGCAACCTCCGCCTCCCAGGTTCAAGCGATTCTCCTGCCTCAGCCTCCCGAGTAGCTGGGATTATAGGTGTGTGCCACTGTGCCCAGCTAATTTTCATATTGTTAGTAGAGACAGGATTTCACCATGTTGGCCAGGCTGGTCTCGAATTCCTGGCCTTAGGTGATCCGTCCGCCTTGGTCTTCCAAAGTGCTGGGATTACAGGCGTGAGTCACCACGCCCGGCCTCTGTGCAGGACTTTTAGGGGACTTCCAGAAGCACCTTATGGCATCCTGTTCTTTCAGTCCAGCCACAGGACATAGCCACTTGGCCACTGGCAATGGCCTTCACCAAGTCCATGTTCCCTCTAGCCATTTCCAACCTTCTTGTGCTTGATCTCTTTATCTTTCTAATCCTTTGATTTAGTACTTGGCTTTAGACTCCAGGTTCAGGCTGTTTTTGCTTTGATGATAGGTTTACTCAGGTGTCCATGGTTCTCACTCTCCAGCACTCTCTACTGGCTTCTTGTCCATGCCTGGTCTCTGATTCCAGCCACCATTATCACGGGTAAGAGGCGCTCTTTTCGTTTATCCTCATTCTCAAGTATGCCCCCTGGCCAGGGCCTCCAACAAAGAACTAGAAAATATTTGATAGCTGCCTCCTCACCTTTCCCCCAGTCTCCTGCACAATTTCCTGATAGAGAACTTGGGGATCCACTCTGGAGCTTTGCAAATTGGAGCCTGACAAGGGCTGAGAGACAAAAGGACAAACTCACAGTTATCACGTGCCTGTTGCACCAAAAGCTGTGCTTGTTTTCCATTGAATACTTATAACACCGCCATTTCACAAAGGAGATAACTGAAGCTCACAGAAATTGACTTAACTCTTCCATAGCTAGCAAGGGGCAGAACTACAATATAAACATCACTGTAGTTGATTCCCAAGCCTATTTCTTCCCTCTCTATCTCAGTGCCTCATTAGAACGCTTAATTCTAATATACAGACATGTGGTCCAAAGTATAGAGAAGCAAATATAATTAAACTTACGTTTCACGTTATTTTTGTTACCACTTAATAAATGATAATGAATATTGGGCATATTCTTTCCTTTCCTCATTCATTCACTCAACAAATATCTATTGAGTAACTATTAACTATATGTCAGGCATTGTTCTAAGCACTTGGAATACATCAGTGAAAAACGTGGCAGAAATCCCTATGCCTGCAAAGCTCACATTCTAGTGTGTGAGGAATAGAAAATAAGCAATAAACACAATAATAAAAAAGAAAATTGTATAGTATATTGAAAGGTGATAAATGGACTGGAGAGAAGAACTGGAGCAGAGAAGGGTATGGGTCAGGAGGTGATTCTATTTCTAAACAGAGTGGTGATTGAGAAGATGTCATTTGAACAAAGACTTGGTGGAAGACTTCCCAAGGACATTGGTGTGGAGAGTGAGCCATGTGTGCTAGGGGGAGGGACAGGGAGTAATACAGAGACACTGGCTTGTGAAGGCCATTGAAAGGGCTTTTCCTTTTACTTTACTAAAATAGGGAGCCACTGAGTGTGCTTGAGCAAAAGAGTGATGGATGTAAGTTAAAAGGATTGCTGCACTGAGAACAGACTGAGATTGTCTGAATATCTAATTTATGGTTGCACATTCACTGTATCTCATTAGGTTAAGGTTAGAGAGAATTTAACAAGATCAAGATAATGGCAAAAGTTCATTATGCTGAGATGGGCCACAGAGAAGAGCTGACTGTAAGTGAAGCCTAGAATTAATGTCGTGATGAATGTAGGACCCAAGGAAAAGAACAGTAATTAGGAAAGAAAAGTGTGGCCTCTGACTGGGGAATCTCAATGTATAACCTCAGCCTGTCTTTTAAGTTTGATTTCCTGGATGTACATCTCTCTTTTCTCCAACTTGTGGAAAGATTTCAGCTTAAGAAATGAAATTTTCTCTAAGGTTTCATTTTTAGTTACGCATTTAAATTCCAATATAAGTGACCAAAAAGAATACCACTTTGGGTCCAATTCATATTTTCTAAGCAGATGCCATTAGTTACGTGAAAGTTTTTCAATATCTGCTGATTGATTCTCTTGTAGTCACTGCTTTCCTTCTCTTTTCACTTAACTAGTTTCACTTAAAGAATCTGAGACAAGATGAATAGAATCCCTTTCCAAATAAATCTGAGAATTTTCTCTCTTGTCCTCTTTCGATGGTACCGGTTCCCTTTCCTCCAGCTTAGAATTCAGAGAGTGAAATAAGAGATTTTTCTCTCTTGAATAGCCAGGCGTATTGCTTTGATGCTAGTTTCCCTCTTATTTAAATGATGAATCTTGTTTATATTTATTAAATATAAATGAAAAATACATTTAATGAGCACCCATTATATTTAAATCACCACACTGGGATTGAAGTATGAACATGAGCCAGGGATGGTGACACGCATTATAGTCCCAGCTACCTGTGAGGCTGAGTGAGGCAAGAGGATGGCTTGAGCTCAGGAGTTCAAGACCAGACTGAGCAACAGAGAAAAACCCATCTCAAAAAAAAAAAAAAAAAGAAAGAAAGAAAAAGAAAAGAAATAAGAACATTGGCAGGCATACCCTCTGAGCTCAAAGAGCTCAAAGCCAGTGGTAACCTCACGCCAGTGGGAACTTTGTCACTGGACTCTAGTTAAAGGCATTTTCTAATTATTTAACCTATAGCATGGTCCTGCAGAGTTAACTGACTATGAAAGGGGCATTAACCACCTCTCCTTGTTGCACTGGTATTAAGGAATAGGTGAAATAAGACTTTGGAAATATGTACATGTCTAGATACATTATTGCTTGGAGTCACCTTTCACTCTTGGTGGCTTTTTGTGGTCATCCTGATCTTGTAAAATCACTACTGGGATTTCAACTTGCAGGACTATCTTACATATCTGAAAGATTTACAAATAAACCCAGTACATACAAATCCATATTTAAGTAATAAGTCAATAACTAATCATTCATTTTCCAAAAGATTCATAAATGAATACTCTGAGACAAGATCTTCTTAAGTATTAAAAAATATGTTTCAATCCTTTAAATATTCATAAAGGACACATGCCTCTTTAGGGAAGAAGGTATAGAGAGAGGTCCAGTTATACCTGGGATATAGTATTAATTCGTATTAGCTCTACAAGGTGAAAAGGTAACAGCGTTGAAATTGAAGATTCTATGAATCCTATGAATATAAAATCCGTATCACAGAGAATGAAGGCAGTGCATTGTATCAAATAGAGGAAGACAAGGAGAAATTCATTGTCATTCCTCAAGGGCACACTGTGAAGAAAAAGGAGCCGTACTTTTCCACTTCCTTCAACAAAGGGGACAGCTTTTAGATGATATTGTATTTTCTTAACGTCTCTCCTATTTTCTGTGATTGCGTTCATTTTTGTGTGTGAAATAGATAAACATACTTGTGGTAAATGTTACTAATACATAATTTTATCTATTTGCATCTATTATCTGTCTTTTTCTGTAGATATCTCTTTGTGTATATATACAGCATAAAAACTCTGTTCAAGATATGTATTTTACCCAAAAATCTATCCATTTCTAATTCTAGCCCACTCTGCAATCTAGTGTTGTAACGCATAAATCACCTCAAAAGTGAAATATTATTATGGATCTCTTCCACTTTTCCATATATCATATTTCAGGGCACTTCAACAAATGAAATGGCAAAGCCGCTGTTGCTGTCCTAGAGACTGTAGGAAATAAACACACCATGTACGTGCACGCGCACACACATGCACACACATGCGCGCACACACACACCCCCCTTTGCCTTCTTCAAGTGTATCATCAATTGATGAGACAACAACTAAATATATGATCTAATCACTTGACATGGCTAGATTCAGATAAAGCTGCTGCTCTGTCTGCAAAACACAGAAGACACGGGGCACAGCAGGTGAGAGCAGGTGCCTGGATGCCTTGGTATTTCCGAGTAGCAATACCCTCAAACCAATTTTATCACTAGTGTCCAGAAGTAGACACTTCCCTTTCTTCTTTTTCATGCTTTTACTTCATCTGGAAGGAAGCAACCCTGCCTAGCTCCTCCTCTGAAAGATACACCAGCAAGTCCAGGTGTCTGCAGGGCTAGGGCCGCTCAGGTGTCTGTGTCTTCAACACACTCGGTTCCAGGGCCCTTGCGACCAACACGACTCAGCCCTGAATAAAGGTATGCCTCCCTGCAGACTTCCAGCCCAGCTTGGACCCCTCAGGGTGTCAGAGGTCACCAAATGCTCACAATGCATCAACTTCATTTATCCAATGAATGTCATACATCATCTTTTAACTGAAGGGAATTGTAGGGGGAAAACAGGAACAAAATATTTAAACCGAGAGAGTGCCTCATTTCCAAAGAGAGCAGCTGTCACAATTTTAGAGGACCTGGTCTCTCAGCCTCCATCAAGGGCACCCCAGGGTGATACAAGTGAAAAATCCCATTGGACTTACCTGTAAGAATCCCATCAACCACCTCAGTCAGTCGTCTCTTTCAGATCCCCAGGCACTACTTAGGTCCTGAAGCTCTGATCTTACTGTGGTGATTTAGTGGCCTGAAGGAGCATTTGGCAGTGATGACACAGCCTTGGCTCTGAGATGAAGCATATGGCTTGGGAGAGCCTGACTCATTGTTTTCTGATAATGTTTACATGTTAAACCATCAACTCGGATCTGAAATATCACATGTTCCTTGGTGGCCTCTGCATGTGACTGACTCAGTGCTGGAGCTGTGGCTCCATACCAAGACAACCAGAAGGACACCTCTGGTTGCCACATTGGAACCACTATGCCACAGCAGTGCCATGGCTACAGGCACCCGGACTTGTACTGTAGTTCTCCTTTTGGTCCTCTGTGGTGCACTTTTACCTCAATAATAGATTAAATGATTCAAGTGATTAAATAATACAAAGGACCAACTTCTGTGTCACTAGATCTAGGTTCAAATCTCAGCTCCACAACTTAGCAAATGTGAGAACCTGAGCAAAGTACCTAGGCTCTGAGCCTCAGTTTACTCATCTGTAAAATGGGGATGATAATATACCCATATCTTATGTTATCGTATCATATACCCATATATTATCATATTCGTATCCCATATCAATATTGTGAGGAATACATTAGATCACGTACCTAAGCTATTCTTCATGGAGGGTGTCATGATTGGAGTGTAAGAAACGACAGCATTATCAGTGGCAAACCTGCATTCAAACACCATTTCTGTGAGCTGGGTTACAGGGGACTGTATTCCGGCAGATTTACTTAGTAGCTGCAGCTGAATGCATTATACCTGAAATAGACTTTCTACCTGAAAGGGGATACAGCAAGTAAGATTCTAAAATGTGGAATTGGCTGAGTGGAAGAGGCAGGGCTTTGGATAGTGAGGTCTCAGGTATTTCAGGCTGCAAATCTGGTGACTCTTCTTACGTGGTGGCCGAACATTTGGTCAGATTGTCACCCGCTGTTCTTTGGGATACAGACCATGTGCCGTGGCAGCTTTGCTATTAGGATAAAGGGTGGAAAAAATTCAGAACCCTGGCATATGGCTATAGATTTTTTTTTTCTGAAGGAGTGGTCTGTACTTAGATCCAAGTTAGCCAGTCTGCAAGTGGAAATGAGAGATCAATGCCTTATCTGTGGCTTGCATTCTAAATTCACTGACAATCCTATATTTGTCAATACTGCTGAGTTTTAAAAAGAAATTTATTCCTACTAAACTGAGCAGGCGGGGACAGTGACAGGAAGTCTGCAGCCTTCATAGATTAAGACATTTCCATCCAGGCTCTGAGGATTTCTTCAGACAAATGCACATTGGTATTACACTTGCTATCTCGCCATCATTATTTTGAATGACCTCAAGGCATTGGCCATTAAGCTATGGAATAGAGGACTGGGAAAAGCCCAGAGATCAGCAGGTGTATTAGTTTGTTCTCATGCTTCTAATAAAGACATATCCAGGACTGGGTAATTTATAAAGAAAAGGAGACTTAATGGACTCACACACTTCTACATGACTGGGAAGGCCTCACAATCACGGCAGAAGGCAAAGGAGAAGCCAAGTCACATCTTAAATGGCAGGAAAGAGAGCATGTGCAGGGGAACTCCCCTTTATAAAACCATCAGATCTCATGAGACTTATTCACTGTCCTGAGAACAACAAGGGAAAACCTGCCCCCATGATTCAATTACCTCCCACCGGGTCCCTCCCACAACACGTGGGGATTATGGGAGCTACAATATAAGATGACATTTGGGTGAAGACACAGCCAAACCATATCAGAAGAAGATAAAGGAAAGGAATTTTCCAGCTAAATACCATGTTTAAGTGAAATCTTTGTCTGTGGTTACTTGTATATGGAATTAATTGAGAAATTATTCCAACACTGGAAATTCTGTAACCTTTTGAGGGAATTGTATTGCCGGAGGCTAATAAGAGTCTGTCATTGTTAAACCTCTAAGGTTATTCCTTACCTCAAATTAAGACCAATAGGAAATGGCTCAAAAATATCTGTGGCTTCAAAGGAAGTGATCTTCTATGACACCCATTTCATATGTGGCCATGGATGAAAACAGACAAGGAAGAATCTCTCCAGAAGCAGGACGGGAGGATGCCAGAATGGGTACCCGAGAACAGCACCTCTGACAGAGCACAGGAGTCCTGAGTTTTCCTGCCTGGCAATGTTTGCTGTTGACTTTGGCACTGTCTCTCCTGTGTGACTTCCATTGTTCTCCTTTCTGAGTAGGGGTTAGTATTGCTCCTAATTAAATACTAAATAATGCTTGCAAAGGAGCAGGATAAGTGCATTATTAGTACGTGCAGCCAGGTAGCCAGGTAGCATTTGCTTCATTTACCTGTCCTTCATCCTTTCTCTCTTCTTTCCCTTCTTCTTTTTTCTGTTATGGAATTAAAATTTGCGTGGATGCAGAGTAGTCATCCTGGGGATCGTTAAAACAGAAGCCACTTGCCAAGAATGAGAGAGGAGAAGCAACTAGAAGGAATCTGGTTCCAGATGACTTCCTTGAGCAGTTTCATCAGCTCTGGACTGATTCTCAACTTCTAGATTCCTTGCCATCTAAAACATTTTTAGTTCCCTGAAGTTGAATTTTTGTGTCAATACCTGTTCGTGACCAAATTCTAACAAACCGTGGCTGGTTGCCAAGTAAAATCAGAGGTTGTGCAAAAGAGAAGAAGGTCAAATATTCTTATTTTGGGAAGCAGTAACTGAATTGATGGAGAAGGCAGTGTGTAGTGCAGGAGGCAAATGTGAGGTTTAGAGGTAGAGGGTACGGTGCCTAGACAAGTTGAGGAGGCAGAAGAATGTGACTGTGTCTGGGGTCAAAATGGCAATTGAGAGGCAAGAATGATGGTCAAAAGGATAGATAAGGCCAAGGAGGGGCAGTAGTGCTCTTAGCTAAAAGACCCTCAGGGCAGACTAGGACCTGTCTCCAGCAAGACACGCTCTACTTTAGCTCAGCTCCATTCTAGCAAGCATCCCTTAGTGCACATTGGCAATCATAGATGGAAGAGTCAGAAGGACAACTCCCTCCCCTTCCTGTTATCCTATGTAGAAGCATGTCTGAGTTGATGTGCAGCTGATCATATCATGGGCCTCCTGTTCTGTCTTTTTACTGAACAAGCATGAGAACAGTCATTCATAGTGACGAACCATCTGGGTTTAGGCTTGGGTGCCTGCTGTTCAGAGGAGCTGTCTGGGTATGCATTTGTTTCTCATTTCTGGTAAATCAGAGAAAAGTTAGGCTTAGGGATTCAGGGAAGTCACTATCCAGGCCTCCAAAATCACCCACAGTTAAATCTGTTTGGCTCTTCTCAGCCTGGGAAGCCATTTATTTGTCTTTCATACATTTTTTGATTTGCTAATTGCATTTCTGACGATCAGATGCACTATTAGGAATAGAGTCTCTTTGCCTAATGAGCTATAATGAAATTCTAGTCAAGAAAAGCAACAGCATCTTAGTTACCTATATAAATATCTGAATCATTTTGTTAGGCTCTCTAATGTTTCCTGATTTCTCTTCTTGCATTTTAAGAAACTGCAAAGAAAGAAGCCCTCTCAGACATAGCAGTCATCCAAGCCCCAAGTGGACCTAAATTTGGAATCCCTGAAATTGAAAAGTCTGATAATGGATTTGCTCAAATCAAGGAGAATAAAGTCCTTTCTCCTGGCACGAATAAAAATAATCACAACCTTTACTTTAAGTGGCATGCACTGGATTTTGTAATTTTCCACCCCTCTTTAATCTACTGAGAAAGAAAACACAAAATGATGTAAGAAAATGGGAAAATCTGCTCATTGATGTTACATCACCCTTTCGCTTCTGTGTTAGCCATAGTTCTCTAGAGAAACAGAACTGATAGGACATAGACATATAGGGAGATATAGCTATAGAGAGATAAATGTAGACATATAGATGTCATATATGTCAGAAATATGTAAATACATATGAATATTTTAAAATTTGATGAACATATTAAATACATTAAAATATTTTAAATTATAGATACAGATATACATATATATATATACGTAGAGAGAGAGAGAGAGAGACAGACAGAGAGAGAGAGAGAGAAAAAGATTGAGATTTATTGTAGAAAATTGGCTCACACAATTAAGCTGGTGGGCCAAGAGAGCCAATGACATAGTTCCGTCTGAAACCCAACAGTCTTAAAACCCAGGAAGAGCCAATGTTTTAGTTCAAGTCTAAAAACAGGAGGAAACCAGTGTCCCAGCTTGAAGGCAGTTAGTCAGAAGGAGTTCCCCCATACTCAACTTTCTCATTCTATTCAAACCTTCAACTGGATGAGGCACATTCATGTAAGGGAGGCCTGTCTGCTTTACTCGGTCCACTGTAAATGTTCACTGCATGCAGAAACAGCCTCACAGACACACCCAGAATAAAGTTCAACCAAATATCTGGCCACCTCATGGCCCAGTCAAGTTGATACATAAAATTAACCATCACACCTTAACTGAGATGAAAAGGTAGATGTTCATAGCCTAGATCTAGCTCAGAGGTCAGTGGTTTTAAAAAATTTTTTAAATTACTTGTCAAACGAATGTATCAGAGACTGCCAGGAACACATCTGAAGTGAAAAAAAAAAAAGTTTTATTTATATTGTTCCAGAAAGAGTGGTCTCACTTTGGGGAAACCCCAGGAGCATTTCAGGAGGGAGTTGTTGAAGGGGTCTTTTAGCGTTGGGGCTTATGTTAGATGATTTGAGGAGGGATTAGGACAGGGAGACTTGTGTTAGATTTCAGAGTGCTAAGAAGGTAGGAGGTGAATCAGACCACCTCCTTCCCATAGCAAGTCTGGGATCACATAGGTACTGATTCTTAATTTTTTTACTCACTTTACCTAGTATTTCTTGTTAATCACCCCAAACTTCTATCTTTACAAAATGTTTTTAGGACAAACCTTCTATACTTTCCAAGATACGCTGTATCTTCCTTTACTTACACTAAGAAGGTAGGTCAATGCAGAGATTGGGTGTCATAATGAGTTTTATCTAAGAAGTGAGAGTATTAAAGTGGGTTTCGACGTATTGTTATGGAAGCAGTAGCCACTCACACTGG